GCCTGTCCTGTCTGCACAGACAGCCTGTGCTATCTGCCAGCTTAGTTCATATTTCGCGGCACTAAGGAGCTGCCCTCTCCAGGCCAGCCCAAAGTCAGTAGGATGCTGGTCCCACACGTACTCACTCTCAGCGGCCCAGCGGCAGTCAACAAGTCCTACTAGCTCTCTCCCTCGTGGGCATGGCCCTACCAGGCCATGGGCACACAACACACAAGCCTGTGTACCCACCACGACTTTGCAAATAAAGTAAAGAAGCCTCCGAAGACATTTATCATTGAACTCCGCTCTGCAAGAGCCACCAAATAATCTCGTTATAGTGGTGCTCCAGTGTCCAAGAAATTAAAAAAAAAAAAAAAATTCTTACAGAATTAAAGAGTATATTTTTGTGAAGGTAATAAGACAAAAAAAAAATTCTGATCAGAAATTTCAATTACTCAGATATGGTAAACATGAGGAAATTAAATCTTCATCAGAGTACAAAACAAATTCTGGCCACAAAATAGAGCGAAACACCAACGTCAAAGACCTGGGAGTGATCATGTCGGAGGATCTCACCTTCAAGGACCATAACATTGTATCAATCGCATCTGCTAGAAAAATGACAGGATGGATAATGAGAACCTTCAAAACTAGGGAGGCCAAGCCCATGATGACACTCTTCAGGTCACTTGTTCTATCTAGGCTGGAATATTGCTGCACACTAACAGCACCTTTCAAGGCAGGTGAAATTGCTGACCTAGAAAATGTACAGAGAACTTTCACGGCGCGCATAACGGAGATAAAACACCTCAATTATTGGGAGCGCTTGAGGTTCCTAAACCTGTATTCCCTGGAACGCAGGAGGGAGGATACATGATTATATACACCTGGAAAATCCTAGAGGGACTAGTACCGAACTTGCACACGAAAATCACCCACTACGAAAGCAAAAGATTTGGCAGACGATGCACCATCCCCCCAATGAAAAGCAGGGGTGTCACTAGCACGTTAAGAGACCATACAATAAGTGTCAGGGGCCCGAGACTGTTCAACTGCCTCCCAGCACACATAAGGGGGATTACCAACAGACCCCTGGCAGTCTTCAAGCTGGCACTGGACAAGCACCTAAAGTCAGTTCCGGATCAGCCGGGCTGTGGCTCGTATGTTGGTTTGCGTGCAGCCAGCAGCAACAGCCTGGTTGATCAGGCTCTGATCCACCAGGAGGCCTGGTCTCAGACCGGGCCGCGGGGGCGTTGACCCCCGGAACTCTCTCCAGGTAAACTCCAGGATACAGTGCTGAGAAGTTTACCCAAAATGACCAGGTGGCGGCAACATCGACGATTTCCACATACGTGCATTACTTTATTTAACGCTTTTTGTAGTTATTTCTTTTCTTATCTATTTTTTTTCTTTTCCTACTAACATTTGGGGCCTGAGAGACCAATACTGTATATAATGTATATATATAAACTCACTGTATTGAACACAATAACCGCACTAAAGTTATTATCATATTATTGTTTACCACTTTTGTTTATTACAATAAACATGCACAAATCTTGTATAATACTAATGTTCTATCATATATTTACATATTTATAATCACTGGACATGGTTTTAGAACTGCTGGAGCTTGTGGAACTCCTTGAAACAAGGCACCATGCACAGAGGTACCTTACATTCCTCGCACATAAACCGAGTGTCTTTACGTCTTTGTTGCCGTCGTTTTGTTTGTGCACAGACAACACATCTCTTCTGAGCAAATTTCTTCTTAGTTGCAGGAAGCTGTATTATGAAATGATCACCTTCCCTCCTCAAATGCTTGGGTATATTCTGAGGAATTCGAGGACCTTGTTGTATAGCAGGTGTTGTTACCTGGTACTTCATTATGAGTTGTCTGACAACAGACAAACAAAATTCACCGTACGGTGGTCTGTTGCCAGTCTTCATTTGGTACATATTATATGCATTGAGCATTGAAATGTCCATGAGATGGAAGAAAAGTTTCATGTACCACTTGTAACTCTTACGAACACAGTCAACAAAACCAATCTGCATGTCACATTTGTCAACCAAGCGCATGTTTTGTGTATAATCAGTCACTATCACTGGTTTTCGAATATGTTCATTAGTCACTCGATCAACTTTGCCACTGTCTTGCATTTCGTTACGGTGAATGGTTGTCAACAATGTGACATCTCGTTTGTCATGCCACCGTAATGCCATGATGTCATTGGCAGTAAACACCTGCACCTCATCACCACGAGCACCTACGTTGAACCTGGGCATATATTTATGATTAGAACGCACTGTGCCACACACATCTGTCTTGTTCACTCGCAAGAAATCACTGAGTAAAGAGCTTGTGTACCAGTTATCGGTATATAATGTATGCCCCTTACCAAGATAAGGTGCCATCATGCTTCTCACTACGTCACCTGAGATACCCAATAACATCTTGGTATCTTTCAATGTTTTACATCTAGTGTATACAACAATATCCAATACCAGGCCACTGTCACAGTCACTGAGTACAAACAGTTTTATGCCAAAGCATTTCCTCTTGCTCGGTATATACTGCTTGAATAACAGCCTACCTTTGAACAAAATCAAAAACTCGTCAATTACAAGATTCTTGAATGGATAAAAGTACATGTTGAACTTTTGTTTGAGATGCATAAAAACATTTCTAATCTTGTATAACCTGTCACTTCTGTCAGGCCTGGTTTTGTCAGAGATGTGCAACATACGTAACAGTAAGATAAACATGTTCACTGGGATGATTTCACTGAAGACCGGGGTAGAAATTAGCTGATCTGTGGACCAGTATGCTTTTATATTATACTTATAGACATGAGGCATAAGCATTATTGTTGCAAAAAGCAAATACATTTCTGCAACAGTCGTCTCTTTCCACCGGTGTAGTCTTGACTGTGGTGATATGATCGTATTTGCCACGGTGTACTCAAAATACTTGTTACTTCCCCTGACAATAGTTTCCATCAAGGGCTGGTCAAAGAATATCTCAAAAAATTCCAGTTCATTGGCCGTGGTTCCAAGGGGACAAGTAGGTAGAATTCCACTTCGAGTCATCAAAGTGGTGGGGCTTGGGAACAAAATTGGGATTTTGCTGCCAATCCCAGATACGGTTTGCTGGTGGATATTGGATATCATAGGCTGGTTGTGCGGGTAGTTGTGGTTGTGGTGGGCTGGTGACTGACACTCCGCTTTGTCCTAGAACTGAGGAGTCAGCAGCGCGGGTCCCAGCCTGGGCTGGTGAGTCACGCATGGCCGTGGCACTACCATCACAACTACCACCATCTACTGATGCCTGTGGTCTATCCATGCCAAGTGTAGCCACATCATCCTCACTTTCACTGTCTATTCCTGGTGTAGGGCCACGGGATGTACTCCATCCCCTGGGCACTGCATAGGGTACACTACCCGAGCGCATGCAGTGGCGTACATACCGACGTTTCACTGGTGAATATATTTCCTCACTATCACTACTCAAATGATCGTCAAGAGCAATAAAATCACAATCCATGTCACTATCATCATCATTACTGAAGTCAGAGGCCTGGCCACGCGAAAATAATAGTTTTATCTTGCGATGAGGTACAATTGACCGTGACTGAGGAGTGACCCCACCAGAGGTAGAAGGTTCAGGATCGTCACGGTTTTCTGCGCTATTATCGATATCCTGGTCATTCCTTTCAGTCACTAACTGATCAAAGCCAAAGAATTCATCTTCATTTCCACTTCCATCAGAGTCAGAACTATCAGATAGGAAGAGGAGAGTCCCAATTTTCCTTGGAGTGAGAGCTGCCTTGCGATGAGGCATGGTGAACAAAGGTAACTGAGCCGGCGTTCCCACAATGCTATGCGGGTGCCTAGAATTTTTGTTTACGGTGCAGACCCGTTCTCTCACATTTTATTTATTTATTTATTTATTTATTTATTTATTTATTTGAACATGATACAGAGAAGTACAAAAGAATACAGTTAAATGCAGCATGCCAAAGCCACTTGAATGCATAGCATTATGGGCAGGCTTAAAATTAACTTAAGATTAACTAAGCAATGAAGTATTCAGTGGTAAAACATTATTGTAAACAGATAACAATTAAGCACAAATGAGTATTACAAAAACAGGTCGTATGGTTGCTTGCATTGATATACAGTCAGTATTTATTTATTTATTTATTTATTTATTTAATTTGAACATGATACAGAGAAGTACAAGGAATACAATTTTTAAAGTGAAGCTTGCCAAAGCCTCTTGTTTGCAGAGCATTATGGGCAGGCTTAAAATTAACTTAAGATTAACTAAGCAATGATATATTCAGTGGTACAAAAATTATTGTAAAACAGATAACAATTTAGTACAAATGAGTATTACAAAGACAGGTCATATGGTCATTTACTGTGTTGCTGTGTAATCAGTAGAATGGAGTATTCTGTTAGGTAATGAAGTTAAATAGTAACAGTTTGATTAGGTCACAGGTTGACATTTATGAGATACAATTATTCAGTATTTATTTAGTTGTGGGTGAGTAAGTGACTTTTGAGAAGAGACTTGAATTTATAAACAGACATTGTTTCTTTTATATTTACAGGTAATGAATTCCAGATTTTAGGGCCTTTTATGTGCATTGAGTTTTTGCATAGCTTGAGATGGACACGAGGAACATCAAAGAGTGATCTGTGCCTTGTGTTATGGTCATGTGTTCTGTTGAGGTTGGCAAGGAGATGTTTGAGGGGAGGGTTAATATCAGAGTTAAGTGTTCTCTGTATGTAATAGGTGCAGTAATAAGTATGGATGTTTTGTATGGTGAGTAGGTTGAGTGTTTTGAATATTGGTGGAGTGTGCTGCCTGTAGTGAGAATTTGTTATCATTCTAACTGCAGTCTTTTGTTGGGTAATTAGTGGTCTGAGATGGTTAATTGTTGTTGAGCCCCATGCACAAATTCCATAGGTGAGATAGGGGTAAATAAGAGAGTGATAAAGGGCCAGGAGGGCTGACTGTGGAACATAGTACCGTATCTTCAATAGTATGCCTACGGTCTTGGAATTTTTTTTGGAAATTTGTTGTATATGTGTTTGAAATTTGAGTCTATTATCAAGGTGGATTCCTAGGAATTTTTCCTCTGTGAGTTTTGTGATATGTGATCCATTTATCATTATGTTAAGAGACACATCTGCAGCTCTGTTACCAAACTGAATGTAGTAGGTTTTGTCAATGTTTAGTGTAAGTTTGTTGGTCCTCATCCAGGTTGATATTTTCTGTAATTCGGTATTTACAGTATTGGCTAGCATGACTGGGCTCAGGTGAGAGTAGATGTAGTGTCATCTGCAAATAGTGTGGGTTTGAGTAATTGCGATGCATTTGGTAAGTCATTTATGTATATGAGAAAGAGAAGAGGGCCTAGGACACTTCCCTGTGGGACACCAACTGTAATTGGCTGTGCGGAAGAGTTTGCCCCATTTGTGTACACATATTGGCTTCTGTTGCTGAGGTATGGCTTTAGGTAGTTGAGGGAGTGCCCTCTTATACCATAGTGCGACAATTTTATGTGGAGCAAGTCGTGGTCAACTGTATTGAAAGCTTTACGCAAGTCAATGAAGATCCCCAGTGGGACTTCTTTTTTCTCTATTGCTGTATAAATATGTTCTAGCATGTGTATAATAGCATCATTAGTATTTTTATTAGGCCTGAACCCAAATTGACAGGGGTTAAGTATGTTGTGGGAGATGAGGTAGGAATAGATACGCTTATGGATTAATTTTTCAAAGATTTTAGAGAGAGGGTGTAAGTTGGATATTGGCCTATAGTTATTCAAGTCTGTGTGGTCTCCTCCTTTATGGATCGGGGTGACCCTTGCTATTTTGAGAACTGTAGGAAAGGTAGAGGATTCAATGGATTTGTTAAAGTGTTGCAATGATTGGTGATAGCACCTGTGACACTTTTTTGTATATAATGGGTGGTAAGGTATTTAAATCTCCTGTCTTGTTTTTTAGTTTGTTGATAATAAGGGAGACTTCAGTTGGGTTAGTCGGAGCTAGGAATAGTGTGTTCGGGTAGTTGCCAGTGAGGTAGTCATTGGGTGGGGTATCTGAGCTTGGGATTTTATTGGCAAGGTTTTTTCTATAGTGGAGAAGAAATCATTGAGTCTGTTTGCTGTTTCAGTAGGTGGGAATTGGGGTTCATCTGGTTTTGTTAATTCAATTTCGCTATTTCGTGTTATCTTTTTTGTTCCTAGTATTTCTGATAGGGTTTTCCAGGTCTTTTTTATGTCACCTCGTAAGTTGGATAATCTGTTCTCATAATACAATTTTTTAGCCCTTCTTATTAGGCTGGTTAGGATTGACGAGTAACGTTTTGTTTGGTCTCTGGTTATGTGGCCCATTCTGTACTGTTTTTCGTATAGGTGCTTTGTATTTATGGATTTGAGGATACTGGGTGTTAGCCAGGGACTGTTCAGTCTCTTTGCAGTCATCTATTTAGTTTTTTTTAGGGCAGTGCTTGTTATAGAGGTATTGGGTCTTTTTTAGAAAATTATTAATACATTCGTCAATATCTGTATAGATTTCTAGCTCAGTTTGCCAGTCAATGTTTGTCACTGCTGCTGTGAAGTTATTGATAGCTGCCTCATTGTGAAGTCTGAAAGTGACTTTAGTAGTGTCTTGGGGTAATTTGCCAAGGTTTGTTATGAGGAAGGTAGGGTAATGGTCTGTGGTATTATCTGTGATTATGCCTGATCTTAAGGGGGATATGGTGTTGGTCCAGATGTGGTCTAGTAGGGAAACACTAGTCTCTGTAACTCTTGTAGGTTTTGTTACTGTTGGTAGCAACATGCAGTTACTCAGTGTTTGTGAATGCAGTAACATGTGGGTCTTGGTCTTGTAGGCCTATGAGGGTTTTCGAGCTAAATTTGACGCCGCTAGAATTTTGGCGTAGATCTACGGTTTGGACCCTGAACGTGAAGCCGTAGATCTACGGGACAGACCCCGAAAGGGTTAAACAACAGGGACAACTGTGATTATGACAGATGTTAAAAACAGGTGGAGATATAATGTTGAAGTGGTTGGTGTATTAGTTCAATATATGCATAAAAGAAGGTAAGGTACATTAACCCTTTGAGGGTCCAAGCCATAGTTCTATGCCTTGTCCACAGGGTCCAAAAATTTTCCCCCCAAAATTTGTTATTTTTTCTTATAAAATGGTAGGGAATCTTTTTCTGAAGGTAATAAAGCAAAAAGTACAAAATTTGATGGAAAATTTATGAAATTACATGCAAATTTTGCTGCATCAGCTATATTTATGCATCAGCGATTTTGCCCACTTTGACTCCTGTTTTAGGCCAATTATGCACATTATTCCAGTCGACCAAATTCTTAGCTATTTCACTAGTATCACTTCTATTTTATTGCTTGAACACAAGAAACTACCCAGTCAACTATTTCAGCTGCCCAATAAAGTGATCAGAAATTGGTAATTTGGTCAGTTTCACATGAAATTCAGAATATTCCAGTTTCAAAATAGGGTCTAGAATAACCAAGCAGGTATTCCTGGCACTAAAATAGCATTTCCTCTTCTCATTAGTTATGTTCCCAAGCTTTACAGATGAATTCCATTTTGATTTTTTATTCACTTTAAGAATTTTTAATCACATCAAAAAATAGAAGATTTACTGTTACGCAATATTGTAATAATTGTATAAATAATATCAGCACATTCGTGAACATTTATTAGACCCACCAGTTGACATGTATTGGACACGTGGCGTCATTTATTTACTCTTGAGCATCGGGAAAAATCAAACATTTCCACTACGTTGAGCTCAATTTCAAGCTATTTTCAGTACTAAAACCAATCAGAATTATCTCTATTTCTGTAATGTATCTTCCATTCTATCAAATGAGACCAAGAAACCATGAATACAACCATAAAAACCATGCAAAAATACACCACAGTCACTGTCTTAATCCAAAAACACAGTCACGTTTCTTTTTTCTCTTTATGCACTATGTGCTGCAGGATTTGCTTTATATGGTGCACACTTACTACATAGATCCATTCTCTCATATCTAAGCCCAAATTTACCGCTCGCAGCTTATCTGAGTGAACTGAGCTCAAGACATAGAACTACGGCTTGGACCCAGGCTTCAAACCTGTAGAACTACGGGATGGACCACCCTCAAAGGGCTAATGACATAATTAGAATGTTGAAGCATTAGTATTTTTTTAATAAATGAGATAAGGGGCAACTATAGGGTGATTCAGATCAGTTTGAAGAGTTGTATGATTTTGGATTATTTTTATGCAGTTTTTTGTCTCATTGATTATGTTAGAGCATTTTATTTGGAAGAGTCATAGATGTTTCTCTGATGCTTTTTAAGTATGTAATAGTAAAATACTGTACACTGTCAAAATCAAAGAGAACTTTGAGTATTCAACTGTCAATTTAATATTTGTGTGCCAATGTAATCTCTATGGTTGTATTGAATGTTTTCCTTCTTAGATATTTTACAATGACCTCTTAATTGTGATCTTTATATCACTATTGAGTAAAATTTCAACTTATTTTAGGGCATTGTGCATCTTCGTGCAAGACAAGACGTACTACAAGGAAAGGTAAATATACAGTAGTAGGCAGAAGGGCCCTGACTTACGAACACTCGCGTTACAACAATCCATACTTAAGAATGAGGATAATACTGTTTGTCAGTGTTATAAACGACTTGATCAAAAGTTGAAACACCGGAAATGCAACTCGTTCATAAGTTGGGGAGCCCATGTAAAAATGAGTGAAAAAACATGAAGATATCATCTTTCACATTGTAAATAAACTTACTTGAAATACTTTTTTGTAGGCCGATGTGCGTCACCCCAACGATCTTCGATGGTGCTGAGAAGTTCAGTTCGGCAGAAAAATCCCATAAGAAACCAAAGCAAACAGGGAAGATAGAACAGATATTCTACATTATAGTTATGTTTTTTCTTTAATTAAAATTTGCATTTTTGCCCTCCACCTCTTTTACTTTTTGTTTTATTTACATAATCTGGGATAATCAGAGATCACATGCTTCTTTTGTAGACCATTGTGGAACGCCCTCCGTAGCTGATGTGGCACTGCGTCGTAATTTGAAGAAGCGAAAATTAAGGAAGAAAGCTGGGAAAAGGCTGCAGAGGAGACTTGAGTATGAAGTAAATAGATTAAATAATAAAAGAATATGATATGATACATATATTGAGAAATATCTGTCAAAATTTTCCAAGAAATCTCTCTAATACTATTCATTGTTCTTTATTGTTAGTACATTTCTTCTTGATTGTGGATATTATGTAAGAGAAATTAATATCCTGAATAAACAAATTTGCACAGTTACACAAAGTTGCAAACAACATTTGTAGATCATTGATGTACATTCTGGAAACTGCAAGTGCTTATTTTTGTACTTTCAGATGAGTTTTCTTTCTTTTAAGACTATCGCATTTACACATTGTTCAGAAATTTTACACAGTAATGTGAATCAGAATAGCTGACTCAATTGTGTTTCCTTTACAGTATATATCACTTGTTGCTGCCTCTTGTGCTTTATTCATGTGTTTCTTTTTTTTTTTTTATCCTGGGTACCATATGAAATTTATTCTCATGTATTGTAAAATATAGTGTTTAAGTGCATGATGTACAGTATATAATAAGGTATGTCCTACTTAGCACTGTATATTTTTATATGTTTAGCATCTTTTTGGCTCAAATTGACTTCTCTAGTTTGTATTAACATTGAATTCCATTTTACTTTCTTTTCAATACAATGGCAGTCTCCCACCAAGATAGGGTGACCCCAAAAAAGAAACACTTTAACCATCACTATTATTGTCTTGCCAGAGGTGTGCACTACAGTTCGGATGTTCTTCCAAAGAGCAAATATTCCCACCCCCTTTCTTCAGAGTGTAGGCACTGTACTTCCTACCTGCAGGTCTCAAGTCTGGCTAACCAATTTCCCTGAATCCCTTCACAAAATATTACTTTGCTCACACTTGAACAGTTCGCCAAGTCCAAAAAACCATTTGCCTCTACTCCTATCTAACATGCTCTTACATGCCTACTGGATGTCCAAGCCTCTCGCACACAAAACCTCCTTTACCTCCAACCTTTCCTCAGGTGACACCCCCCTTTCCTGTGTACATGTGTGCGCAAGCATGCGTGTGCGTGCACGTAAATAAAATGTGTGCATGCTTGCATACATTTGCATATACATATATCTGTCTGCAAGGCATATATACATATTTTTTTTTTTGTCTTCATGAGCTCACCTCTCACCAGGGCAGGGAAACCCAAAGAAGAAAACATTCACCAACATTCACTCGATCTCTCCCTACAGCACTATGCTGACATCAAAATCATATTTAATATGCACTCAGGTGCCTACATTTTTTTTAATGTTCTTTTGTATGTGCTTACTTTACAGTGAGTAACATTTTTTTATATATGTAGGTAATAAATGTGATTTTTCCTTTCTCTGAGATTTGTATCAATTTGGCATTTTACTCTGAAACCTAAAAAATGACGTGTGTGTAAACTAAACATTATGTATTTAACAAGATATTTTTTCAATAAAAATTAATTGTTTCCTACAAGAAGAGGGTTGCTGGAATGACAAGGAAGTTCAATTACACATTGATTTCAGTTCCATATCTGTCATTAGTCTGAGCAGCAGACATCTCAAATTCAATTAATATTCACATTGTCACAGACATCAAGACATTCTTGTTAGTGCTATGTCTGTTTCTTGCCTTTTTTTTTATTAACACATTGGCTGTTTTCCACCAAGGCAGGGTGACCCGAAAAAGAAGAAACACTTTCATCATCATTCACTCCATCACAGTCTTGCAAGAGGCACACCTACATTACAGTTAAAAAACTGCAACATCAGCACCCCTCCTTCAGAGTGCAGGCACTGTACTTCCCACCTCCAGGACTCAAGTCCAGCTTGCCGGTTTCCCTGAATCCCTTCATAAATGTTACTTTGTTCACACTCCAACAGCACAAGTAATAAAAACCATTTGTCTTCACTTGCTCCTATCTAACATGCTTGCTGGAAGTCCAAGCCCCTCATACACAAAACCTTCTTTACCCCGTCCCTCCAGCCTTTCCTAGACTAACTCCTACCCTGTCTTCCTTCCACTACAGATTTATGTGCTCTCCAAGTCATTCTGTTTTGTTCCATCTCTAAATGTTCGAATCACCTCAACAACCCCTGTGGATAATACTTTTAGTAACCCTGTACTTCTTTCTACTAATTTCTAATCTATGGATTCTCTGCATTGTATTCACACCGCACATTGACCTCAGACACGATATCTTCACTGCCTCCAGCCTTCTCCTTGTTGTAACATTCACTGCCCATGCTTCACACCCATATAAGCCTGTTGGTATAACTATACTCTCATATATTCTCCTCTGTGCTTCCATGGATAACATTCTTTGTCTCGACAGACTCCTCATTGCACCACTCCCAAGTATCAGAATACATTCACTTCCTCTGTACTCCCTCCCTCCAATCTGATATCCAATCTTTCATTACTTAAATTTTTTGTTATCCTCATCATCTTACTTTTTCCTATGTTCACTTTAAATTTCCTTCTTTTTACTACCCTACCAAACTCGTCCACCAACCTCTGTAACTTCTCTTCAGAATCTCCCAAAAGCAGTGTCATCAGCAAAAAGCAACTGTGACAACTCTCACTTTATATTAGATTTTTTTTTATCTTTTAGCCCCACACCTCTTGTATAAATAATTTGGTAAATTTAAAAATAGAAGCTCACTACTTGCCCTTTTGAAAAATTAAATTTTTGTTTAGAAGACCAACTCACTTTTTACCCATTTATCGACTGGTTGCCCAGCCAGCAAATTTAGAACATACCAAGGTAAAAACAAAGTTTGCAGTGTTTAATATACAATTCAAAGATGTCATATATGCAGAAAGTGTATACATGAAGGTAACTGCAATTTTGTATTATGTATAAATGTTCAATTTTGTAAAAATTTTCACTATATTTTGTCTTATTCATATAGATTGTTTATAAATATACTGTATATGCAAGATTTTTTTTTTTTTTTTTTTTTTTGGCATTATCTATTTTCTTTATTGAAATCTTTCATATACCATGCACTTAAGTGTCAAAGACATTGTGCTTATTTGTATCTAGATTTGTAGTTACAAGAGCATGGTGTCTTGTCTTCACTGTTGCACCACACTTGAAGTCCAAATATTATATGCTAAAGTTTCCAGTGGTTGTATCACTTGCTGCTTCCTTTTGGATCCCGGTCCAGTATTCTGCTATTGCTTGTTAAGAAAAACTTCCTGGCATTTTTTTTTTCTTCTTTTTACAACTGTTGCCTCTGTTCATTGTGTTAATGGTCCTAGGAAAATTTTGTTTGTAATGATTATATATGTATATGAATTTTCCCTGGGAAGGAATGGATGAACTTAATTTATTTTATACAGTTTGTCTATACAGGAGAGTCCCATTTTTACGGCTCTTTCATCCTTGACCCCATACAGTAAATGAAAAATGCTGGCAGGTAGAAAAGAGTAGCTTTTTACTATTGAATGCATCTAAAACACCTGATAACATTTTACATTATCAAATATTAACTGCACAGTACAGCTAAATGTAAAAAATAGATAAATACACAATACATACAATGCCTACCTTAAAATATGGTTTTGGTCACCCTGTGCACAACTGTTGTACGAAAATGGTGGAAAAGCGGTAAAAACACTGAACATGATGAACACTGGCTTAATTGAAAGGCAATGAAAACATGGAACACCGAATAGAGGGTGCTATATATGCTGGGCACTCCTGTGGTAATATGCCTTTCAGCAGCCTATATCTGTTACTGGTACAGGTTCGCCATCACAATCAGACATCCGGTTCCATCAGTTATTCGGCACTAATTTCATCTAGCATAATTTCAAATTTCTGGAGTAGCCACACCAACCTGCTGTTATTATTTGGTGGCATTACTTGCTTCATAAGTCATTCCAATGTCTTTTTCTCCATTTATTGTTATAACCTGCTTACTTTTAGCCCTAGCCATGGTTCCAACGAATAAAAGAAATGCTTCTCGTTGTGTAAAGCACATTGTCCATAAAAGATAAGGTGACTTTGAAGCCACTGTTGGTTGCCATGAGCTCAGTCTCGCGATGCAGGGGAATGTGCTTTATTATTATGCTAATATCAACACTACAGCTTATTTGCCTATCACAGTTGATCTAATATGACATAATAAACAACATAAATAACATAAAAACATATTAATACTCCAGAATGAATAATATTTGGCATAATACCAAGCGGTTCGACAGAGGTATGAAGAGGATATGCGATGCAAGTACCATTCTCCTATCCCTGTCTTAGGGGATTATATTAGAGAAAACAGAGTATAGCACAGGGCTAACTGTGATATACACTCGTAGTGCACCATAAAACTGAAACAAAAAAGCTATTTTCTCTACATAGATTATCATACATATCAGTATATGTGTAGAGAACCTAGGATAACCCAGAAAAAAGTCAGTGACTTATTTCTAGTGCCTGGCTTGGGCTTGCCATATGATTTTTGATAAATATTTTTTTTTCTTTCAGTCGTTTGTTGGGCTGTCTTATTGAAACTTGGGCAATGTATGATAGAAAGATGCTTCTTAATGTACACCAAAAATGAAAGAAATTGCACCATAAATAACGAAGAGTTCACTTCTCAGTCATTAGCCACCCCATAGTGGTATATTTTCATACGGTTTTTATAGTTGTATTTTTGTTTTTTTGGTCTCATTTGATAGAATGGAAGATATATTACAGAAATAGATATGATTTTGATTGGTTTCGCGATGAAAAGTACCTTGAAATTGAGCTCAAAGTAGCGGAAATGTTCGATTCTTGGCGATGTTCAAGAGTAAACAAATGATGTCACTGTCTAATACGTTTCTGACTGGCCAGTCCAATATGCAGTCACAAATGGGTTGACATTATTTATACAATTACAATAATGCAGTAGTCTTCTATTTTTTGTGTGAAAAAAAATTCCAAATGGTAAGCAAGAGTAATATAAGAGGGGCCTGAAGCCATGACTAATGAACAGAGAAAATTTTATTTTAGTGCCAGGAATGTCTGTATTGTTTATTCTGGACCCTATTTTGAAATTGGCATTTTTTAAAAATTTGTGTGAAATTGGCCAAATTGCCAATTTCTGACCATTTTATTGGGTAGTTGAAATAGGTGAATGGGTGATTTCTTTTACTCATTTGACAGAATAGAAGTAAGTTTATTCAGGTATACACAAATACAGTTACATAGATTATCATACATAACGGCATATGTATATAGAACCGAGGATAACCCAAAAAAGTCAAGGTGACTTATTTCCAGTAAATGCCTTGGGCTTGCCATATATGATTTTTGGTAAATATTTTTTTTTCTCAGTTGTTTGTTGGGTTGTCTTATTGAAATTTGGGCAATGTATGATGGACAGATGCTTCTTAAATGTACACCAAAAATGAAAAAAATCGGATGATAAATAACGGAGTTCACTTCTCAGACATTAGCCGCCTCTAATCGGTATACTTTTGTATGGTTTTTATGGTTGTATTCTCGTTTTTTGGTCTCATTTGATACAATGGAAGATATATTACAGAAACAGAAGTGATTTTCATTGGTTTCACGACGAAAAGTATGTTGAAATTGAGCTCAATGTAGTGGAAATGTTTGATTATTGCCGATGTTCAGTGAACTTTCTTGTGTAAGTCAAGTTGGTTAACTTTATTAAGTGTATTCTAACCTAACCACTCTGTAATCCAACAAACTCAATAATCCAGCACACTACAGGTCCCAATGATGCCGGATTTGTGATGGCGGACCTGTATATGTTAATATTTACAGAGATCATCACCTGTCTGGTCTGTTTTTAGACCAGGCCTCCGCTGCATGACCCTTGTCGGTTTAGCACTTTCTTTGCTTATAATAGTAGACAAGGCCTCCTAATTACAGAACTATGAATTATAAAGCAGCACACAGGAAATTAAAGTGAAATGTATACTTACTGCAAGTAGATGTTAGTAAGAGTTATCTGTCATCTTATATGTTCACAAGCTGGAAAGAAAAACCAGCAAATCTGCCAGGGTGCAAAATGTTTAACAAGCTTCCTTTTCATTTGAATAAATCAACTGACAAAAAAAAAAGGTAGTGTGGGAAGTAAAGTGTGATGTACGTGTAATGTACGTGCACTTTGGAAAGACAACAGAAATGTAATTGTGAATGGTTACTCTTTTTATCGCCCTGCTTTGCTGGGATATACCCTGTTTTGAAAACATAGCACTACCTTGTTCCTGCTTGTCATTAACAGACTTCCTTCTATTTCTCCTTTAAATACAGTGGTACCTCGGGATACGAACTTATTTCGTTCCAGAAGGCTGTTCGAGTGCCAATACCGAACAAATTTGTTTCTATAAGGAAT